AATTCTAGTTTCATTTGTCACCAAACAAACTGGTTTGGCAGATTTTTATAGCCGACTAATTTCATCAAACTTTAACCATTAACTAAAATTGGAAATGAGTAACTCCTCATTGCTCTTTTTCCTCAAAGATTAGATAAACAAATGATAAAATGCTGAAACAGTTTGGACTTGTAGTGCAGTACATAACTTCCCCGAACGTTATCAAATATCTTCTGTATGAGTGATGCTAATATAACGATAAGAACTGAGGACCAAGAATTACATCCGGAGACAACGCAAAGTTAAAAGCTTAGATAGGTAGAATGATCAAGGTTACAAATTAGAGTTCGGGGTCCAAGAGCAGGTCCATAGTCAAAGCCAGGGGTCCGAAATCACAAGACAATGGAGGGGAGAATTAGAGAGCGAGGTAAGGGCATAGCAAACAGGTCAGAGATCCAAAAAGGCACTCTATGACACATCCATTAGGGTCCAGGCAGGCTCAGAGAACGAGGAGGCATGAATCAGGTCAGAATCAGGCAGGCAGGTAACAGGAATGCAGGACTAAACTCACCGACGGCTTGTAATAATCTGGCAGTGACTGCAAGCCAGAGAGCTAAATATAAACAATGGGGGACAGGTGAGTGGCATGATGCTGATCGAGTGGATTTGAAGAGGTGTAGTACATGAGCTTGATTGCTGACACAGAGCAGAGGGAGAAAACAGCAGGCAGACGGGCCAGAATCAAAATAGCTATGAAACTAGTCCATGCATTTCTTACCTCAGGGCTGGATGATTGTACAGTAAATCTTTTCAGGAAGTCCACTTAATCTAGTTAAAGGACTTCCACTATCCAAAATAGGGCAGTCAAACTTCTATAAAAAATTAAAATGAGAGATCATATTTCTCCAAACTTAACTTCCATTCATTGGCTTCCTGTTAAATCTTGAATAGAATTAAAAATCCTCCTTCTCACATATAAAGCCCAAAACAATCAAGCTGCATCTTATATAGGAGATCTTACTATTACGTATGAACTTAACAGAGCAATTAACTCCTGATTTGCAAGTTTATAAGTGGCTCCAAGGATTTCTAAAAGTAGAACAGGAGTTAGTTTAGTTATCAGGCTCCTCTCCTGTAGAACCAACAGACAGTTTTAGTCTCTGAGGCAGACACCCTGTCTCTTTTTAAGACTAGACTTAAAACTTAACTTTTTTGAGAAAGCTTAGTATTAAAGTGGCTCAGGTTATCCTGAGCTATTTTCATCTTCAATTGAAAATGATAGTGATCGGGCTGTTTTTAAGTGATCAGTCTTGTTTCTCTCCCAGACATAGATATGGGCCCATGTTTCACTGTTGCTAACTATATCTACTCTTTTCCATTATTTTTATAAGAAATCCAGCTCATAGTTCATCTGCCTAACTGTTTCTTTTCTTTACAGAACT